CAGCACCAAAAACACCTCCGCGTACAGGAACGTGGCCACCGCCGTCCACTGCAGGCTCATGGCGGCTTGAGGGGGGCACGGGCAGCGATGGGGACCCGGTTTGGGGCACCGGGACCCCCAAAATCCCCTCAGGACCCCCCAAAATCCGCCCCGGGGCCGCCCCTCCCTCACCGCCCTCACCCTCAGGAACGCGACCAGCGGAAGCCACGCCCACACGCTGAGGGAGCGGCCAATCAGAGCGAGAGGCGGGAAAATAGCTGGGTGACGTCACAGCTGCCCGCCATTTTCCCCCGCCCCGCCACCCGGGGAAATTTCAACAATAAATTTAATAATAAATTTAATCAGTTGGGATGAAGCCGTTAAAGCGGGTAAAGTTAATCACAATTAATTTCGTCATTAGTGAAATTAATGGGATTGAAATAAAGCCGCGCCTCTTTCGTCGTGGAGCCGCCCACGCCTCCCCACCCCTTAACGCCAATGGTTCGTCCCTTAACAGTAGCCACGCCCCCACCCCGCCCACAGCCAATCATTGTCCCGCCCTCACAGCTTGTCCCGCCCATGGAATTGATTGACAGCTCTGGACACGTTTATTGCGTTTATTGGGGAGGGGGCCGGACTCCCCAAATTTTGGGGGGATTCGTGAGGGGTCTGAGGGGGTCCCAAGGGGGTTTTGGGGTCCAAGGAGGATCCAGAGGGGATTTTGGGGGGATCCCGAGGGGATTTTGGGGATTCTGGGGGTGTCCCATTGGAATTTTGGGGGTCCCAAAGGGATTTGGGGGATCCTGGGGGTGTCCCATTGGAATTTTGGGGGTCCCAAAGGGATTTTGGGGATCCTGGGGGTGTCCCATTGGAATTTTGGGGGGTCTCAAAGGGATTTTGGAGATTCTAGGGGTGTCCCATTGGAATTTTGGGGGTCCCAAAGGGATTTTGGGGATCCTGGAGGGGTCCCAAGGGGGATCCAAAGGGGATTTTGGGGATCCTGGAGGTGTCCCATTGGAATTTTGGGGGTCTCAAAACGATTTTGGGGGTCCTGGGGGTGTCCCATTGGAATTTTGGGTGTCCCAAAGGGATTTTGGGGAGCCTGGGGGGGGTCCCAAGAAGATTATGGGTGTCCCAAAGGGATTTTGGGGAGCCTGGGGGGGTCCCAAGGGGATTTTGGGTTTCCCAAAGGGATTTTGGGGATCCTGGAGGGAGTCCCATTGGAATTTTGGGGGTCTCAAAGCGATTTTGGAGATCCTGGGGGTGTCCCATTGGAATTTTGGGGGTCCCAAAGGGATTTTGGGGAGCCTGGGGGGGGTCCCATTGGAATTTTGGGGGTCCCGTG